CTAAACGTCATCATCTGCCTCAAACAGCTCCTCTGGTGTGTCTTCCCACTCTGCAAAAAGCCAACGCCTTTTCTTTGGCAACCATAACATTTATAATAAATACATAAATATAACAATCATAATGAAGATGCTTTCAAATAATTAAGCAAGCTGTAAACTATTTATTTCATAACTCCACACGGCACCTCCCCTGCCACACTTCTCGCTGCTCTCCATCTCCTCCGCAAACCACTAAATAATGAGGAAAAGGGAATATTCACTCAATCTATTTTGAGATGTTACACATATCATATTAATATAGGCGAAGCACGTGTAACATCTATAGCCCGCGTGCGTACGCACCTGGATCAGAAGGCCTCTGCTGTGATGCCAACATCGTCATCAGTCTACGCGCCTCTGTGTGGATTACACATCTTTCATCGGGCTGGAGCATTTTGAAGCTTTTAAAGCGGGGAGTCAGGAAGGTGGCGATCTTACGGGTGTTTGTCACAATGATTTTTTTGTTTAACAACCTCCCTGCGCGATTGCAAATGTACTCAAGGTATTCGGGACTCCCACACCGTGGCTCACATATACATATATATATATATATATATATATATATATATATATATATATATATATATATATATATATATATATATATATATATATATATACATATATATATATATATATATACATATATACATATATATATATATATACATATATACATATATATATATATATATATACATATATACATATATATATACATATATACATATTATATATATATATATATATATATATATATATACATATATACATCGGGTGCGGGTGGGTCGGGTCAAAAAGTTCATGATCGGCCTATATATATATATATATATATACATATATATACATATATATATATATATATATATATATACATATATATATATATATATATATATATATATATATATATATATATATATATAGGCCGATCATGAACTTTTTGACCCGACCCACCCGCACCCGACATGACTCATATTTCTGAGGCATCCAATCCGCACAAAACCGCGGGACCCGCAGGTTTTGGGCCGACCCGCGCATTACTAATACACATATATTATCTGAATGTATCCATTTTTAGTTGCTTGGTAGCCAACATTCTTTCTATTTTTTTTTCCAAAGTGCAGGTCTTGGACCGATTCAGCTTGGATTGTCCACCAGAGAAGAGTTAAGTACTGGTTACCATAGAAACACACTGTTTACTTGCCAGCAGTCTACCTATATTTTAGTTATATCCACAATTTTTAGAACTTATTAGAAGTGAGTAAAACCGAATACATGACTTACTCTCTGCAGAGGTTCATATTTTCCTCTGTGTGCCTTTCTCTTTACACCGCGCTTTCACAGTTTTTCTCAGTCGCTTTGGTGCATTTCTAGCATCATTCTTCACATTTGCACAACAGTTAGTGCATTTTTCAGAACAATTAGTACAAACTGCAAAACCTTGTGGAAAATCTGGAAAAGCGCATCACGTTCTCAAAATGAAAAGTTAATTCCTCAAAAGCAAGTCCTCATGTCAATGAAACTGTCTGTGTCATCAAAATAATACGTCCTGACACTAGTGTTTATGAACAACACAGTCAAATGGTTTAGTCATGGTTTCATTGTGACAGTTTACTCTCTCTGTGTTTTTAATGCAACAAAGTGACACTATACCTGTACACCTGCGCCGAAAACTACAGTAAAGTTACACAGTACTGGATTTAGTGAGGTAACTGAGTACAAGACACATATATAAGTATATACTGTATGTACTGTATGTATGTATGTGTGTGTGTGTGCGTGTGTATGTACAGTATACTCTATGTATGTGTGAATGTACTGCATGTATTTCACAAAATGACAAAAATATCGTCACTTACATGTATTTATGTAGAAAAAACATACAAGAAATAGCATTACGGTAGAACTGTGCACAAATGTAAACAATAATACACACACCTCCTCATGAGTGAACCTGAAACTCACCTGAGAGCAATTGTTCAATTTAGGAGAGATTTACAGGAACAAAAGATAAACGAATGTATGAAATTAGCTTGACAGATTTTGATTTTAAGAACTAGTTCAACAATTTTGTATGTAATGACCAAAGCGATGAAATGAGGACTATTGGTTTTACAGGGAAAGACTATTCAGAAGTCATAACTATGTTTCATTCTGCCTGACAGGACATAAGAAAATGATTATGTTATAAAACAGCAGAGAATTGGATGAAAGTAACTGATACATGTCCAAATGCATTTGTAATTTGTTCAAAGGAATGAGAAACTGCTACGATGATGTGCACAAATAACTCAATGTTGTGGAGATCGAACTAATAGTTGTGAGAACTTTAAGTTCTGAGAAATGCACCAAAGCGACTGAAAAAAACTGTAACACTCCATTACGAGCTGATGCACAGTGCACGGGAGCATCCTTCAACTCAGAGCGTGCATACGGTGGAGGGACACACTGCTCTCTTCATCCCTGCTTCTATCTATCAGAGCTATCGTGCCTGTTATCAAATTACTCACAGTCAAACCGGGGTTTGGGGAAAAAAACATCTCCTAAGTCCAAGCAACCTCTGGACTCTCCCAGACCATGTGGGAAATTATTACAGAATGATTTTGAAAGTGTAGATTCTCAGCTTTTCAAAAACGTACAACTTATGATGATGATTACTTCAGGATTGGCGGTCGGTTGAAAATGAGGTCACCTGAAATCACAAAGCTGACTGTGAGTGACTTATGGCTCTTTTCCCCATCTGGCACATGTATGCTCCATTCTGGTTTTATGGTTGATAAAAATGCAACGCCCAGCAAAAAACCCAAATTAATTAACGGATATCAAGCAACTCCATTTTTTGATGCCAAAACAATGTGCAAAAAGAAAGTTACACAAGAGCCATTAATTTGCATTCAATGGATTTGTCAACTATACAAACTCGCTTGTGTTACAATGCTGTCAAGTCCACCTGGAGGTCTCTCCCGCAGCAGCACGCGTAATTGGAAAGGAGCAGCTAAGCGAGAGTCGGAGATCCTTCGTAAATTGCCCTGTTAAGACACTTTTCGCACATGCAAATTAAACTGCAAAAGTGTCAGTATTTGTTGCGGTAATGGACTGTTTTTAGCTGGTGATCGGGAGCGATGGGGAGTTGACTGAAGTAGCTTCTCATTAGGCTGACGATGACCAGGGTTTATGTGTACTGGAAATAACATGCGAGGGCAATGGAGTGATGGTATGTAAGCCTATGGTCATGCCTGTACCTTCGATTTTAACATGGAAATTAAGTGCAGGAGAATAGATCACAATGACAAAATTGTATTTTTGGCCAGAGGATGTCCTGAATTTCTCCTACGGGGATCAAAAAAGTATCTATCTGTTGATCTATCATTCAAATCTTAAGCAACGTTTTCATCAGCCCAACTTGGCTCTACTCTACTCCACTTGACCCTACTTTACTCTACACAGCTCTACTCTTCTCCTTTTAGGAGGTACCAGTACCAGGTCCTTTTTTAAGTTTCTGCTTGGCCCTAGTTCTTACCAGAGTGCTGCTGGCAACCATGGTTACCAAGGAATTTCCCCAATGGGAAGACATGTGGAGCAATGCAGGAAAGAGAGCAGCCTAATCTCTGACAGTAGTTTTACACAACTTATTTTGCTGTCATTATGCAAAGAAATGGGTCACATGTAAGCAACGGCTTGGATTTACAGTTGTGTTCTTTAATGTAAAAATAAGAAGGACGCTGGTTGGACGCTGTGAATCGCATCATATTATTGGTTGGTTTTGTATTCTTAATTTCCTGCACGTTTGTAGCTTAAAGGACGAGTGCAGACCCACACCATAGGGAAGATGTCTACAGACAATTTTAGTAATATAGCAACCATGTGTTTGAACCATGCATGTTTGAATCCTAGCTTGAACCTCTGTGCCTCCGCTCTCACCACACGGATTTCAATATTTTATGGCTGGGAGGAGCTCAAATTGACTGCAGCTCGCCTGTCCGGCTGCGCATGGCCTTCCATTATTCACAATGGAATTCATTTGTGTTGACAAAAGGACAAAAGATGGAGGACTGGGCTCCAATTCTACTATTTTTACCCCACGTGTGGCTCTGACCCTGCACTGACATCACACCTGCATTTCATTGCTGAATCATTTATATGGAAGAGAAAGGCAGAGATTGACCCCCACAGAAAAGATGTTCACTGCTCAAGCACCACTGAGTTTCTATGCCAATTAGAAACAAAGACAGATATGAAGATTGATAAAATTGAGATACAACCCTAATTTTACTGTGGACCTGCAGTTTAATACTTGGTCTGATAAATGTGTCTCCTAGTGTCATAAAGCCTCAGTCTTAGTTCTACAGCCTGTTTGTCCATGGGAGTGGATTCCTCTCTCAATCTGGGCCCCCCACTTGTTTGTAATGTCATTTCCACTAGTGTTCTTTAAGATGCAGGAGGGTCTAAGGAACAGTGACCAGTCACTTCCTACTAACCAGCGCATCTTGAAGATCTTGATACCTACCGCCTCCATAGCACCTCCTCGTGCTCCTGCTCTGGCTCCTGCTCCGCCAATGCCCCATTCACACCATGCCTCTAGCCAACACCAGTGTTTGACTCCGGGGATCTGAGATCATCCTCAGCCGCAATGATCTCCCCTCTGCAAGTGTCACTGCCGGGCTCAATGCGCCAAACAATAAATCTTTCTAAATGCATTAACATGTCGGTTTTGGTCTCTCCAGATCAAATTAAGTTGAGAATAGTTTGGATCAGAAGTTAGAAAAGACAATGTGATGAATCCGAGCAGCCACTTTTTATTTTTCCCATTTCAAGTAAATATGTTGAAATCACTCCTATCTCTGCCATCGTTTGCAGAACATATACAACACAATCCATTATTCTGGCATAAACCTAAAGTGTATCAGTGGTGTGTGACTTGTTGCCGCACACGCCGTTGCTCCGCGGTGATCACAGGCTCAGCACATCTGCGACACTCCCAGTGCGCCCCTCTGCCTCTGGGCACGGCACACACGCATCAAGCTCCAGAGCGCGCGCTGTGACTGTGCGAGCTGCTGCTTTAATGAGTAAACAATGTTAAAGATCCACCTGCCAGTCCTCCTGCTCTTCTTGCACTGCAGCTGGAGGAGGCCCAGACAAGCGCTCTGTTTAACCTCTTAAACTCTGGGTTTATCATGCTCCCAGGCTCACATAACAGTCTGATTTAGGAGCTGTCACTTGGCTCAAACCCATCTCTAGCTCCACTCACATATTGTATGTGGGTCTATTCTATTACATTATCTGGAGGGTGTTTCTGCTTGAACCTGTCTCCACATGGACATGGGGTCACATGCGGTATTGCAGCTTAAATTCACTAGGACATTTAAGATAAGATAAGATAAGATAAACCTTAATGATCTAAAAATTTAGAAATGTACATGTCACACTTGGCATAGATAGAATCACTCAGATTGTGCAAAAAGACATGACATGTGCAACATGTTAAAGGTTACACACATAATATGTGCAGGATATATTATTTACACAGACCTCACGGCTTCCATAAGGGCATGTTTCTTGGGGTTTTTAGAGTACCTTATCCCCCTGAGCTTTTTAATATTTGAAATCCAGTATTCTATAAATCCACACGTTAGTGCAACAAACAAATTGAGTCCCACTCTTGCTCCGCTCTCAGTAACGTCAGCGAGTGCCGCCCTCCACAGTCAGCTCTGATTGGTTTGAATGCTCTTGTGTTCCTCTGGTCCTGTGGAACCACCAGTAGAAACACTGTGCACCCCACTTTGCACCATGGTTGCTAATTGGCATAGAAACTCCTGGTCTTACTCAGTAGGTGCCAAGTGTTCTACCTCTCCAAGACCAGCGTTAAACGTGAGCGTTCTGACCAATCAGCGCTGACTGTGGACAGCAGCATTTCTGCGAGTAAATTTTCAAGCAAACCAGTATCTTCCATGCCAGTGTTTTGTGTGTAGAACGTTGCCGTACCTCTGCCACAGGCACTCCCTCTGGTGGGCGGCAGTGCAGCACGATCATGCCGTTGATGGGCACCTCTTTGCCCTGGGGATCCTCCTCAAAGTTTTTCCGAAGGTCTGTGGGGGAGGACAGAGAAAGGGTTAAAAACACACACCAAACCCCCTCAGTGTTTGACCTTTTAAAACACAAGTGAGAGATAAGAAAGCAGAGCAGATAACGTGTGTGTGTGCGTAAAGATACGGATGCGGACGGCTCAAGGTGGCAGGGCAGACGTGGCTTCCACACAAGGGCAATGTTATTCATTCACAAACACATGGCATGGCATAAGGGGATATCAGATTTCACTTCACTATTTCCTAGTATTTCTACTTTTGTTTTTTTTTGCTTATTTTTGACTGTTGGCATTTTTTTCTTGTTTTGAACGCTTACTGTATAAGGCCGTGTATTCTCTGTTCTGGCCCTTGCACTGACACTCACCCGCTGTGGAATAAATAAAGGTCCAATTAAATTAAAGTTGAGCAATCTAACTTCCGAACAATACAAAGTGACTAACCATACATAGTAACTCCACAAATGTGTGATTGATTTTATAGCAGGTCTGCTGGTGTTCAAGTCTTTTCATGGCCTCGCACCAAAGTACATATGTGAGCCATATGAACCAACTCAGACTCTGAGGAGCACAGGGACCGACCTTCTACTTGTGCCCTGAGTCAGGACTAAACATGGGGAGGCAGCATTTCAGATTGATGCAGCTAAAATCTGGAACAGTCTTCCTGAATATGTGAGACAGACTTCTCCTTGGACAATGCTCAAATCCAGATTAAAAACATTCCCGTGAATACAACTTGAGGATTGTATCTAACTCTTTTGAATGTACTGTAATTATCTATGATAGTGATCCCTTTTTGTGATTTTGGGTTTTGTTTTTTTGTTAAGCTATGTCTTGTGTATGAACTGTGCTATACAAATAAACTCTTGCCTAATTTTGTAATGTACCGATATGATGAGTGTTGTAGGTGCTGGCTAAGGACGTCCTTTAACATGATTTAAATGTGCTCTCTTGTAACAAGCTAACCTCACTATGATCCATGAACTCCAGAATGTTGACACAGCACAGTCTATGGGCGTCCTTCTGACTGAGGTCAGTGCCCAAAGGCTGCTGACCCCGAAGCACAACTTGGCATTGGAGGCAGGAAACTTCACCTTCTTAAAACATTACAGCTATTTGGGCAAGTCCCTCCCTCTGCTGCCTGAAGGTGATGTTTCTCTCACTGGGACTTAGGAGTTTTCATTTCATTAATACAGTCATAAAGTATATCTTTAATAGTATTGTTGTATATTTACTCTTGCATGAATCAGAGTATTAAATGCTGTTTCCTCGGGTAAAACAAAACAAAAATTTAAAGGCCGTGATTAAATGGGTTTAGCCAATAATTATCACCTTAGTGAAGTGGCCAAAACAGAACATTATCATGTGTTTGAAAAGTTGCATGGAGGACTCTGAGTAGGAAAAGAGGCACTTCACCCCTTGAAAGCCCATATTTAGACATATGGAAAGACAGGGAGATGAGCTCAGAGATTATGTATTTGCATTCATTCTAGCAGCTTAAAAAAACATTCAACAATTCACAGAAGCCTGTGTATTTTATGGCAATACAATACAATACCATTGAAAAAAACAAAAAGACAGATGTAGTAAGGAATGGCTCAAATGAGCAACACTCCCATCAAATGGTAGAAACTACATTATGAATGGAATAATTGAAACATTAATTTGAAGCCTTATTTAGAGCAGTTCATGGCGTCATAGCCCAGTGATTCCACAGTATATTGGCCCTCTCAAGGTTTCTACATTTTTCCACAGGATTTTTGAGCAGTTCCTTATGCTGCTTTTCCAAAGTAACGGTACGGTGCGGTACGGCGCGGTGCGGTATGGCGCGGCTATTTTGCTATATTTACATTTCTACTAGGGTGGGGCTTGGGATCAGGGTACTTTTTTCATACCAACTCGACAGTGGTTTCAAGCTTGCCAAAGCTACACCCTAACCTATTGTATGCAATGGTGGTCTAATGGACTATTCATGGCGCTGGCACCCCAGTGACCAAGGTTCAAGTCCCGGTGTAACGCCGAGATACACTGCCTTGAAGAGATGCACTGCCTCAGCTGTTTATGATGTAATGCAAACCTGCGCATGCGCGTCTCACGCCAGCCGAAGCATACGAAGATGGCGGACATCCCATCAACCCCTCCCACGCTGAGGAGATACTTGGAAGTACTATTTTTAATGGAAAAGCACCCACACTCGGCCGCGCTGTGCCTTGCCGTACCTTGCCGTAGAGCTAGCCTGACTCTCGCCAGACCCATGTAGTTCGCTGCACTTCACACATGAGTCTGGTACTGAGCCATAGTGGTTGGATTTCAGAAGGCAGGGCCTTGTAAAAAAAAAAAAAAATCCTTGTATGTGATTGGATAGACCACTTGTCCGTTATCTTGAATGAAGTCTGCTTTCAACCACTCACATCGAAGCACACGGCTCCAAATCCAAGCAAGATTTTCCAACCCAAAATCCACGAGAATACCCACACACAAAAAACACTCAGTATGATTTTTTTGGCTAGAAACGTAATGTAATCAACTTGGGCTATCATGATTCTGTTTATTGTCTTTCTGTTTATTTAATACCTACAAGTCTGGCAAACCGGCAATCCTGATTGGTCGATTAAAAAATAATCTGAGGAAGACGTTCGCTATGGGCTCGATACCAGACCCATGTGGTTCAGCCAAACGCCTCTGGTGGAACATGGCGGAACTACAAGGGTCTGGCAGAGCCAGGCTACCGTAGAGCAGGGGTCCCCAAATGGCGGGTCCAGGTCTGGACCCCGAGACCCTTTTCTCTGGACCTCCATGATTTTTTTGTCCAAAAGTACATTACTACATCCATCCATCCATCCATTTTCTACCCTTTAATCCATTTCTGGGTCAGGGGGGTGGCAATCAGAGATGCCACCCAAGTCTCATAGCACCAGCCCCTCACTGACCCTCTGCAGGTGGTGAGTGCACAGGAGGACAGCTGCTCTCTGAGTGTGAGCATAGCCTTGATCTTTCAGTGGGGGCTTTTGGGCAAAGTGGGGTTAAGTGTCTTGCCCAAGGACACAACGACAGCAGTCATCAGTGGGAGTCGGTGGAGAAGGTGTAGAGGTGGGAATTATTACAATTATGTTTACATTTTTCACCGAAAGCGATTTGTAAACAGGCAAGCGCGAGGGCGGCTAGAGCAGAACGGGGTCCTTCAAGAAAACTTTACGGAGCTGTGAAGATAACTTTGGCAGTGTCTAAATTCGAGTGAGTCAGAGACGTGAAAGAGACGGGGCAATGGACGCTCACGTTCAGCTGCTCACACTGGCTGTGTATGAGCGGAGGAGGAGCGAGACAGAGGTACACATTAAAAACATATCAAAACAGCGTATGTCCTACTTTAGTGCTCACTGCGAGTGCAGTGGATTTTGGCCATAAAAAGTCTTGTGGTCAGAGTGTGGAGGAGGAGGAGGAGCATATGTTGTGGTCAGAGTGTGTGGAGGAGGAGGAGGTCAGAGTGTGTGGAGGAGGAGGTCAGAGTGTGTGGAGGAGGAGGTCAGAGTGTGTGGAGGAAGAGGTCAGAGTGTGAGGAGGAGGAGGTCAGAGTGTGAGGAGGAGGAGGAGGTCACAGTGTGTGGAGGAGGAACTCAGAGTGTGTAGAGGAGGAGGTCAGAGTTTGTGGAGGAGGAGGTCGGAGTGTGAGGAGGAGGAGGTCAGAGTGTGTGGAGGAGGAGGTCAGAGTGTGAGGAGGAGGAGGAGGAGGTCAGAGTGTGTGAAGGAGGAGGAGGACGTCACAGTGTGTGGAGGAGGAGGAGGTCACAGTGTGTGGAGGAGGAGGTCAGAGTGTGTGGAGGAGGAGGAGGACGTCACAGTGTGTGGAGGAGGAGGAGGTCACAGTGTGTGGAGGAGGACGTCACAGTGTGTGGAGGAGGAGGAGGTCACAGTGTGTGGAGGAGGAGGAGGTCAGAGTGTGTAGAGGCGATGGCAAAAACGTTATTTGATGGAAAGAAGCACTTCAACAAAAAAGATCCCCTGATCCTCCATGTTTATCATGTGTTGCAGCCTCTGCTCTGAGAGCTTGGGAGAGGTTTGTGGTGAGTTGTGTAGAAATAAACAAAGGAGATAAATGTTATGTGTGAATTATACACACCTATATTTAGATTTTTCAAATACTTCGTTGTTGTTTAAGGTTTTCAAATCATTTCACATGAAAGAAATAGCTTGAATGGATTTCTATAAAATCAAATATTTGTATGATGTCCGGACCCTAATCTATTGAACTGATCAAGTAAGTGGACCTCGAGCCAATTTAATTGGGGATCCCTGCCGTAGAGTGCCGTACCGTGACTATGGAAAAGCGGCATTAGTGATGATCTAGGACAGGGGTCTCCAACCTGTAGCTCGGGAGCCACCAGTAGCTCGCCACCTCCTTCCAGGTAGCTCGCCAAAGGATTGAGAAATGAACGAATCAAATAATCTACTTAACATTTCAGATTGTATTATTCATTATCATTATTTGTTATTGTAAATGCACTTACTTTGTGCACTAGTAACACATACGCAATAGTAAATAATGAATTTACCCAATATCAGGCTTGTTCACACCAATATATAACCACATTTTTCCCAGGGCCGTTTAAAGGAGTAGCTCTCTACCTTTATCGTCTAGGCAAAGTAGCTCTCTGGGTGAAAAAGGTTGGAGACACCTGATCTAGGACATTTAATGACATTTCTGGACAGTGGTTGTCCTGCTCCCTGTGGACCAATGGCTTCTATGAGTTTGTTACTGTTATATTTTGTGTTTGAACCATCTGATTCTCTGATCTCTTTGTAACGTCCTCTCAGACGACTGCTGTTGTGAAGTGAATTGTGAAGTTTGGATACAAAGCAGAAGAAGGGGGGGGGGGGGGGGGGGGGGGGGGGTGGGGGGTGGTATCTTGGACGGAGACATCCAAAAGGGTACAGTATACATTTAGGGTGTATCTTCCAAATACCCAAGATCCAACTTGGGATTTATGAACGTATGAGATCCGCAAAGAT